GGCAGGAAAGTTCTTCCCCAAATCCACTTTCTTAGATTTATGAGCTAGGAGTATGTTAATCAACCCAAGTGTGAGATTTCGCTGGGATGTTGCCTCCTAGCAGGGCATAGGCTGGGTGGAGGATTTAAGGAATATATATGATCAAGTGTGGTTCATGTCGGTGAGGTCTCCAAGCCACAGTCCAGCTGACAAGCTGGGATGCAATGGTGATCCATGCTCATCAGACCACGAGGCACCAGAAATCCTCTACAAGGGGGTCATCTCCTTGGACAGCATGAGGACCATTAGGAAAAAATTTTTTACAGAGAGAGTGGTCAGAGAGTGGAACAGGCTGCTCAGAGAGGGGGGGGAGTCCCCATCCCTGGGGGGGTTTAAGGGCTGTTGGGATGAGCTGTGGGGGGATGTGGGGTAGGGGAGAAGTTTTGTAAAGTTGGGCTGATGGTTGGACTCGATGATCCCGAGGGGCTTTTCCAACCTGAATGATTCTGTGACCACTTATCCAGCCCCTTCCCAGCTCACCAACACAGGACTGACCTCAAACCCAGGCAACTTGATCACACCTCAAGATCCCCCCAGGTTCAGGACTGGCTACAAAGAGACTCTTCCCCTCTGGCACCAATCGATTTCCATAGCAAACTCATCTATGAGCACAGACCCTCCCAAGAGGTACAAGCGATGCACAGGGACATCTTTAGCCTGTACAGTGGAGAAGTGGCACTGGGAAGGGCTGGCCAACTCTTGAGCACCTCGGCATGACATCTTTCATCGCCTCATGCTCCCTGGCATGTGGAGAGCTGCACTTCTAAATCGACAAGGTAGATCACATCTATCATCCCTGGCAGAAAGACTCCCAGCTTCAGGATATTTATGTGAGAAACAGCTTCCAGTACCCAAGACCCCCTTCAAAATCAACATCACAGGACAGCAAGTGCAAAGCCAAGCTCAAAGCTGGTGGAACATCAAAGAAAAGCAACACCACACTTGTTTGTTCAGCTAACGGCTCATGTAGGAGGCAAAGGACCTTCCAAATTACATTTCTATAGCAACTAAGGTCCCACCATGGTCTTTTTCTTCCAGGCACTGTACAGACTGTCTCCATATTAATAACCCTGTTTCCCAAGGAGGCAGAAAACAAGAAAAACTCCCGGAAGAATAAATGTAAGGAGCCAGCCTGCTCTTTATACCTAGGCAAGGAGGGGTACAACTACGGGAAGGCTCTGCAAGAGCTTGCGAAACACCTGTACTCAGTGTAGGCACCTAAAGGACCTTATAGCCAGCCTTGCAGGGCTGTGCTGGGATGCTATGCAGCTCGTGTCAGAGTTCAAGTCATAAAAGTCATCCCAACAGGTTCATACACCCCTCTTTCAAGTCCACAGAAGAAGAACCAGGTGTCTAAGTCTATACTTGACCTCCGAGTTCCTACTTCAAAGAACAAGCCCATTTATATGCTGGTATTTAAGCAGACCTGGCTGCCGAAGCCCTGTGTGGTGCTGCATTCGTAAGATACTCATCCTCCAAACAGTGCAGCAACATGGGCAACAGTGCCAGTTTCCTTATGGGGAATGATCAAGGGTGGGATTTATGTGACCTGCCTTCCCCATTCATCTTAATCAAGCTGTTCCTGCCTTTTTTTTTCGCAAAAAGAGGGTGGATAGCAGCCCTGGGATGAAGCTGCCTGCTCCGGCAGTGCCTTATCACGCCATCACTTCTTTTGCATCCAAAAGGCAAGAAGATGAATCTCATCTTATTTCCCACACAGAAAACTGCTGTCAAAACAGGGAATTGCAGGTATTTTTCCAAGGAGGAGGAGCTCTAAGAGATGGCACACTCAAGCCAGTTCATTTTTTCCTGTATCATTTACATCCATCCCCTTTAAAAGTTCCAGGCAACCATAACTTCCATAAAACATCTTTGCAGAGGTATCCCCCTTCCCAAGAGTGGCCCGTTAAGCAAAGTATTATTTAACTAAGACAGGCATAAATATTTAAGGATCCCACAAATTCTTCCCTGTCCTACCCCTACGCTTGCAATTGGGGAAATCTGTGATCTGAATGAAGCCAGGTGCTTGAGAAAGGCGAAGCATCTCAGGCAGGTGACTTAATCTCAACTATCAGCCATTAGGGAGGAGCCTCATCTCCGAGGGCAGGTGGGAAGTGGTTTGTACACAGCATCTCGCCTCCCGAGATCAGCAAGGCTCTTTGTTTCTTGCGCCGTGCACTCTGTTCTGCATTTATCCATTAATAATAAGCTGTCAGATTCCTCATTCGTACCTGTTATAAATTAATCTCTTTTAATTGGCCATGCTTCCCAACCCAACCCAGGAACAATAGCTCCCCGCGGGTTCTTTATGCCGCACGGTTACGTGGCATCGAGGAGTTAGTACCTGCCGAAGGACCCTGCCACCCCCCTCCCACCTGCAATAAAGAAACCAGTGGGGGAATGGAGACATTTGTCACTGCCAGCATCACGATTAAAATGTGTTGGTATCGCTGTGGCAGCTCAGCATACTCCAGCTCCAGTACCCTAATACAAGGGCAAGGCTGCTCAGCCCATGCAACAGCTTGCAGAAACTCCCCTCCCCAAAATCTCTCTTGAAGAGGGAAGGGGAACCAGAGCAGATGGCTGGAGGTGAGGGGAAGACTGAGGCAACCGCAACGTGGCGAGCTCCAGCAGAGGAGGAGGAGGTTGTAAAACTCTTTGAGGTTCAGAGCCGGAGCAGAAGTCAGGCTCTGCTGTTCAGCTTTGTTAACCCAATAGCTCAAGCTCTCCCCTGCATACGTGTACTTTGGAGCACGCCTAGGAGGCAGCAACGATTTGCAAGACATACATTTAGCTCCCTTGGGGAAAAAAAAAAAAAAAATCAGACCTGCTTTATCATTTCTTCATACCCATCTAACATATGGTACCGGGGACTGGTGCTTGTCTACCATATGTATTTACACCATAACACACCGAAGCAGGGGTGGGAGCACCCAGGCAATGAGGGGCACAGCACAACCCTGCACACAAACAGCTCCAACACCCAGAAACGCCCCTGGATGTGCAGCGATGCCACTACAGAAACCAGCATCCCACCTCTGCTTCCCCATGGGTTCAGGCTGCAAGGAGTCCCTTGAACAATCTTTCCCAAAAGGATCTTTTTTTTGAAAGAGGAAGGTTTTGAATAAACCAAGTTTTTCTTGCTGCTCTATCTTCCTGCTGTACCCACCCACAGCTAGAAAACATTCTCAAAACTGACATATTTTGGGCAATTGTTACAATATTGCCAAATTCTTCACTCAGAAATGAGCAATTTCACACCAAGCTCCCCAGCCCCGCCATCTGCAGCACCTGAATTCACCCAACACCAGCTCCCACAGACACGAGCGTCCTCTGCCTCCTGTTTTTGGTGGGTGGGTTTTGGTTTTTTTTTTTTCCTCTTCAAACGAACTCAAGAGCTGCAATCACACACAAAAGAGAAACAGAAAAACCCTGACAGGTTTTGTAGGTTGTAGCCAGGGGAGTTTCTCAGCCCCAAACAACCCTTCCATAGTTAATAAATAGCATCACCCAGGACAAACAAATCTTGCAGCATCACCTTCCCACAACACTCCAACCACCAGGACCCAGATGCACCCAGCAAGGTCCCCAGTGACAGAGCGGGAGAAGCCCCCTGCCCTCACCCCCCACCACCCCAACACAGCTTAGAGAGAATTTTTAAAATTCCTCTGACTTTTTTGCAGAGCGCTTGTTCCTGCCACCACCTTGCGTCTCTTCTTGTGTGTCCTGTCCCCAGCAGCTCCATGAGTGTCTTTGAGAAGCCCCTTATAGAGAGAAGATGGAGGTTACCAGGGATTCTCCACCTCCTTAGTCACAACAGAAGAAAACCCAGGTGCATTTTTCACATCCACGAAACATTACAGTCTAAACTCCTCTGAAGACAACCCCAAAGGCAACACCGTGAGCGAGAGCCCACCCCGTCCCAGAGCCACCCCTCCACAGAGCCCCTTGCTCCCCGCAGCTCCACCACAGACAAGCACCACACTTCGCTCCCAAATAATTACCTGCTGCAGGCTATGGGTGATGATCCTCATCCCCGTTTGACCCCCAATATGCCTCTTTTTTTTTTTTTTCTTCCTGGCAATGTTTAACGAGGCGAATTAGGCTCAGGGCACCCAGCACCTCGAGTGACTGTTTTCACCACCACCAGGCTCTTTTTAATTAGCAGGGACGCAAAGTTTTGTTTTTTTTAATGCATGCATAATAAATTCAATACTCCTTTTTTTCAGCGCATGCAAAAAAAAAATAATAAAAAAATAAATAAAAATAATGCATCGCTATAAACTTTTGCTGCTCAATAAGACTGACAAGAATAAACCCAGCGTGGGGGCTGCACGCTTATCACAGTGCATTAAAAATAAATAAATAAATTGGGGAGGAGGGAGGGAAACATTTTGCGCCAAAAACTTTTTGGAATGTTTCTTGAAGCTTTGCAGCCGAGCCCGCCCGCCCGCCAGGGGGCGCTGTGGGAAGGCGCCAGGCCG